AGTCCCACATCACTAAAAGTTTGCTTATCCAAGCAGAAGTTTGCTTACCCCTGCGTGGGATAGGTACAGAGACAACAGCCTTGGTTATCGTCCAAGTACTCCGAGCTTGGTTGGCTCCTCGGCCACTAACTCCGTGCGGATGAGATTCATAGCCCTTCCCATAGCAAACCTCTGGCCGGGAATGAGGAGGAATCAAGGACCGCCGGAGATGCCAGCCATCCTCACGCCGTTTCAGGACGCGCTACTCTAAGATCTTTTTTTGAGATGGGCGTGATGCTACGCAGTGTTTCCAATAGACTTTGCGTGGTTTTCCTCTCTTCTGGGAGCTTCCTTCCTCCTCTTCGCGCTGGCAGGTTTGGAGGATTCGTGACGTAAACTGTGCCTTCTGCAGGTGGATGCTACAAGAACTTCAATCTTGTGTGTTTAAACAGAAAATTGGTTAATTACATGGGTGCATCCAGCTAATTCTCTTCGCTGAGAGCTGATTATTTGAAAGAAGTCAGCACCAGAACTGCCTTTTCCTTAAAGGCAAATTGCTTTAATTGAATGCGATGGGTCCCCAAGTGCATTTCTTAGGTTTTACAAATCAGCTGCATCTCAGAGACTATTTAACGGCCCGAAACTCACAGAGACGTAAGGATACGGGGCCCTGAAATCTTATGGGTTGTCCCGACACTTGTACTTGACAGTATCACGCCTCTGTGCTTTGGAATAACCCTGGTTGCTACTCCTGCTTTACACCGGGTGGGTGCAAAGCACTAGGGAGTAGTAGATCTGGGAAAGAAATTCAAGGAACGATGGATATCCCAAACACTTGGGTCGTCACCCAGCGTGCACCAGTGCAATCTCCTGCCCCAGCTCGAAGGATGGCTCTGCAGTGTGGGACACAGCAAGATCACACAGTTGAAGGCCGTAAAGCTCACACAGACTTCGGTCCGATGCCGGTAACAGGCTACTTTTCCGTGGTCTCTCCTTTCCAGGATCCAGTTTTGTGCTTGTGGGTGATTACAAGCACGAAAGTCAGCACACACACTGCAGTCCACAGCACCGCAACTGCAAAGCGCACGGCTTGGCATGCAGCAGCCTTTGTGCCGACAGCTGATTTCATGGAATCATAGAATCCCAGAATGGTTTGGGTTGGAAGGGACCTTAAAGACCATCCAGTTCCAAACCCCCTGCCATGGGCAGGGACACCTTCCACTAGACCAAGTTGCTCCAAGCCTCATCCAGCCTGGCCTTGGACACTCCCAGGGATGGGGCATCCACAGCTTCTCTGGGCAACCTGTTCCAGTGCCTCCCCACCCTCTCCAGGAAGAACTTCTTCCTGATTTCAAGGCTTGAAGAGAAGAATAACACTACACCCACAGCCAACGGAAGCAACTCACGAGAAACCATCACCCGCACAAGGCTCCAGTGCAGAAAGGGCAATGTTCTTCCGTGTCACTGACCACTTGCGATTACGAAACCCGGAAACATTTTACTGTCACAATCTTTTCACTACGCTGCGCGTGTATCGTTCCCTATTTGGAAGGGAAAGCAGAGTGGTGATGCTCATTTTGCCTAGTTTCTAAGTAATTTCACTTGGAGATCCGTAATTTTGTGCTGCAGTGTGAGCGCTCCACGGACAAATAGCAAATAACGGCCTTATCGCAGCCTTCCAGTGCCTGAAGGGGCTACAAGGAAGCTGGGGGGGGACTTTTTACAAGGGCAGGGAGTGACAGAACAAGGGGCAACGAGTTTAAACTGAAAGTGGGGAGGTCTAGATTGGACATCAGGATGAAATTCTTCCCGGAGAAAGTGGGGAGGCACTGGCACAGGTTGCCCAGAGAAGCTGTGGATGCCCCATCCCTGGAAGTGTCCAAGGCCGGGCTGGATGAGGCTTGGAGCAACCTGGTCTAGTGGAAGGTGTCCCTGCCCATGGCAGGGGGTTTGGAACTGGATGGTCTTTAAGGTCCCTTCCAACCCAAACCATTCTGGGATTCTATGATAACAAAAGGCTCTGCTGTTTTAAAAGTCTTATTTTCACAGAAATCAGCAAGTCGTTTCTTTGTGCTTACATTCTGCTATTTTCACCGTTTGGGTAATGATGTAATTCTTTTCTTTACGCTTTCTATAAAAGACTTTCTTGTCAAAGTAGAGTTTGGTTAAAACTGGACTCACAACCTACTATAAAAAAAAAAAAAGAAAGAAACAAGAAGCAAGTTATTACTTTGAAACATGTTGCCGTTGTTTCAACCACCCATTTCACTGGACTGTATCTGGTAAGAGAAGCTTTTTGCTGAGGAACACCAAGTTGGCTGACCCCTAATACACACGCAGATCAGCACGGTGAATTGCTTGTTTCACATATTAGCGTATTATGAATTTCTTTTTCCCCTACAACCCATATTCTGAACATGCTTTTCTCTGGGAGCTTAGAATCATAGAATGATCATAGAATCACAGAATGGTTTGGGTTGGAAGGGACCTTAAAGCCCATCTAGCTCCAACCCCCCTGCCATGGGCAGGGACACCTTCCACTAGACCAGGTTGCTCCAAGCCTCATCCAGCCTGGCCTTGGACACTTCCAGGGACGGGGCATCCACAGCTTCCAGCTGAACAACTGAGTGGTTTTTATGTGCCTCCAGCCTGAAGCACATAAAAATCCTACATTTCCTGGCATAAAGTGAAACTCCCACTTCTTCTTGTACAAATAGAGAATCTTCTATTTGTAGCTGATATTTCAATCTGACCCAGATTTAAGTCTTCGGTGTGCTGTGCTTAACTGGACCAACACCATAAAATTAAAGATTTATTCCGGGTTTTCTTCTTTCTGTAACTAGCACTGGCAACTGGCCAAATACTCCTAAGAATTAGCACATAGAAACTCGTGGAAGATTAATTCAGAGAACAAACAAACAAGCCCAGCAGTATTTGGAGAAGGAAACCCTATTCCTTGACTAGCACCTTTGCAAATTGAAATCCCAGGGAGACTGTAAAGCTTAGCTCCTTAGGAGTTAAAAAAAAAAAAAAAAAATTAAAAATAATTGGAAAAAGTCAGGATTTTGGCTTCTACTAACAAACTAAATCCCGAACTCACGGTGAAGAAGAAATTAGAAGGGATGCTTCGCAGGGGACCCACAAAACTTCGGTTGCTTCAACAATGAAACATTATTTTGCTGTCTTCTTCCACTGAGATTATTTTTTTCACCCCAAGCATGGAATTTACAACTCTACAGGAACAAGCCCAGCCACAGCAGCATCATGATGGCTAATATGTGTATAGACTGAAAAGTGGATGCAAGAAGGGTTAAAACCTACTGGCACGCCAGCAGTGAAATGCAGAGAAAGGCGTCTTGTTCTCCCGTACAATACGTACAACTACAGTAATTTTGCTGCAATGAATGAGCATGTCCTCAGGGCAAGAAAGGTGCACAGCAAACCGAGGGATCTTACAGAGTTCAGCTGCAGCTACAACATCCCAAGCCATGTGGACTCCCTGCTGCAGACTACGCTTCTCCCACCGGACAATAAAGGCAGCTTAAGGAAATTTTTTTCATATTAACATCTGCATCTTGACAATGTTTTTCAAACCCCGTTAAGCAACACAACTGAGCTAAGACAATAATAAAAATGTACCCGTTTTATTCAGCAGAGCAGGCCAGTGGGATGGTTTAGATTTACGCTGGTGAAACACAGCCAGGCCCAAAGTCAAACGAAGAGCTAATGGATTTGAATCCTGGTCAGATGCTCTGGATTATGCCAGGATAACTGGCTGGATTTCAGGGTTGTGCTGTCAGTTTGCTGTGGCCAAAGCAGTAACAGAACCAGACTTGAGGATGGCGAATGCTTCTCCCCATTCCACCACTTGACTTCCAAGCTCACCCACCTCCTCTGACAGCACTTGGCTGACTGAGATCGAGACGCCAAAACGCACCCGGAATGTTCAAGCTGTCACACAAAACTGCTTGTGGTAGCACCACGTTCCAGCATCACTTATTTCCAGGTTCACCGACAGAAACAAGCTCTCATTTGGTTATAAATCTAAATTGCAGATTTTTCAATATATAAATGGCAATACTAACACATCTGACCAGCTGTGCTTGGAAAATCTGTTCAGCCTCCTAATTTCACAGAACTCCTGCTCCATCCAGGACAACTTTTTGAATTCCAGACACACCACTGGAGGTACCGTGAATGTGGCCTGGGAACCAAAGATTCAGGTGTTGTTAAGAAAGGCACAGCTCCTTCAGCTTTGTGGCAAGCTTACAGTTGCTTGACAGTCATTAACTACTAGCTAGGAAACAAAGGGATGGGGGTTTTATTACATTTTTTAGTCTTGATATTCAGGCATAAAACTTTATAATTAGACAAAGTAATTTGTGAAGAAACACAAAACATTTTGTACGTAAAAACAGATCAGTGAAAAAATGAAGACACAACTGCAAAAATCAATGAAAAAAACCCATACAGCTTTGCAAAACCCCTCCTGTTTCCAGGAGCAGAGCTGGGCTTTCACCAGTGAAAACAACAGTGGCTTTATTATTAAAGGCTAGGGTGACTTTTTTCTATTTTCTGGATTAAGAAAAATGCAGTAGATAGTAACTCACAGTCTTAACTACAGCAGTTAAAACCAGGCCTGACTTTGGTCGCTGTTACCCAAACTGAAACGGAGTTGAACCCGAGCGAATCTGGGCTGAAGGCAGCAAAGGGTCTGCTGTGTTAAAAGGAAGAGGCAAAGCTGAACTGTTTTCTATCAAGTCTTGCTCTGCAGACGTGCAAGCCTTGGCCCTACGCACAGAGACCTTTGCATCGTGGCACGAAGCTCACGCTGGCCTGTCACCACGTTCTCCCTTGAAAGAGCTGTATTTAAACAGGGTCTGTGGTCTCAGCTGGAGGGAGAGCAGCGTGCTCAAGGCTGGATCACAACGTGTCGTCTGGCTGGTGTGCTTACAGACACATCTCCTCTAACATGCTGAAGTTCAAATCACCTCTAGAGTCCCAGCTCGACTCCGAAATGGTCAAATGTGCTTGTAGTGCTTCTTTTTCTTTCTCTGTGCTCCTTCGAGACACTCAGCTGCCTCCTCACTTTGCCTTCGGTGTTTCTTCTTATGGCGTTTCTTTTGCTTTGCCTCAGAGTCCTTCATGGTGAGATCTTCCCCATCAGATATTCCCCTATAAATTTCTCCACTGCCCATATTTTCATCACAACTGATGCTCTCCCCATCGTGCTGCTCTTTATGTTTCCTTTTCTTTTTCCCTGGGTGACACTCACTTAACGGAGCATCCAGTTCCTCTCCATTCAGGCTCCCTACCTTCGGCTGTTTCACTTTAGGTTTCTCGCAACGCTCTGTACTCTCTGCCTCATCTCTCTTCTGCTTCTTCTTTTTCTTCTTGACTTTGGTTTCCAGTTCTTCTGAAGCCTCTGCAGCTTCATCAGCTGTTGGGTGGGAATTGCGCACCTTTGCTCCTGTTCCATTCTGGGATCCCTTCAGTTTAGCCATGCGCTTGGCGAAATACTCCTGTACAGTGAGAACACTCTTCACTGTATTGTACCCGTCTGCAGGCTCAGACAGCAAGTGGTTTCTCCTTTTCCCTTCCTGAGACTCAGGATGCGTAATACCCTCCTGCAAGTGAACAAAGAGAAGCAGGAGTGAGAGACGTAACGGATTTAAACATAAGGTTATTATTATTATTATTTTAAACACTACTTAAAATATTAAAAACAATGTAGTGCTTTGAAACTTAACTATGTAAGTATATACTTTGGCAGAAATGAGAGGCAGCTTGTACTGCACAAGGTACCGGAGGCTGAGGGAGAGGAAGGCAGCAAGAAAATACGGAGCAAGACAATTCTCTGTTGCTTTGAATTTCTTATTGTTTACCTACTTCTGTGAAACTCATGCAGATTATGTGTAACACTATCACACTTGGTGTATTACACTCACTTTGCAAAGGCACATGTCTCTACAAGATATAAAATGTGAAAAATCATAGAATCATAGAA